CCTAAACACTTAGAAAAATATATTCAATACTTTTTCCACTGTTCATACGATATTCAGTTAAGATTCTTAGTCTTCAGGAATGTGCTTAATGTTTGTCTTTTTACTTTCTGTAAGTTTTAACTCTCTTTTCTAGTTTAAGCTAAATTTAACCAAACGAGTATGTTACAAATCAATATCTAAAATTTCAAATCTTTGTAAAGAGTTAAAAAGAGGATTGCGGATTAGTAAGCTATTGATCCGTAAAATATTTAGTATGGAGAGAATATCTATGCTGTTTCTTAAAACCCTCTATGATTGAGCAAATGTTTTTTTTTTTCGACATATGACTCAAATTTTATTTGCCTGGTGTCAATGACAGACAGCAAAGATTAATTGTATGTTCTCATGATTTATAAATGTGCTAGCCCATATGTGTTAACTAACATGTTTTTTATTTGTTGAGAATAACTTAGTCACAGGTTTGTACCCTGTAACACCTTTCGTTGGCTATGAACAGGTGAAATGTCCTCATAGTCTTAGCTGCTGGGAACAAGAGAAATTGTTTCAAGTTTTAAACTGCTTGTTAATAACAAATGGGCGAAACAGAGCGTAGTGAATATGTGATACCGCGAGGATATATGCTCAAAATGAAAGAAACTCTTAATTTGCCATAGATTTTAATTTAAGTACAAAAACAACTCTGAGCTTCTCCCGTCATTAATTTTTATATAAAGTAAGTAAAATATTCCATTTGCACGAAGAAAATATTGTATCCGTGTTTTAGAATGTATAGTGCCAGTAAATAATGTCTTAGTAAAAATCTAATGATGATGAAATAGATTTGAACTACGTGTTTTAAATGTAAAATAGTTCGAGTGTTTGTTTGAAATTAAGCACAAAGCTACACTATGGGCTATCTGTGTTCTGCCGATCATGGGTATCGAAACCGGGTTTCTAGTGTTCTAATGCCGCAGACATGACGCTGTGCCACTGGAGGGGAGGGGTGGGCAAACTAGTTTGAGAAGACATCAAACAATTAGAAGATAATTCATGCTAGACATATTAAGATTCAGATCTTTAGACTTATTGAAAAAACAACAAGAACAACTAATTAAGAGACTGACTTTGGAGCAAAATAAGAAATGACATTATATAACCAGACGTTTTACCGGCTATCCTTTAGTAGAATGTACAATTACAAGAAATGGAGGAAACGTAAAACGTGATAATTTTATTATTTCTGTTTCTAATTTTATGATTTGAATCATTTTGAAGGTTATAGCATTAAAAATCGACCGAAATGTAGCAGAACATTTCATAATAATTATTCAACTTATTGCATATAAGTCAGCATTTATTAATAAGTAAAAACAATGAATTTTCATATCTAGTTGTAAGAAGTCAGGTAAAGATGGCAGCACGTTAGCTAGCAGCGCTTGAAAATGAGGAAGTTTTTGACATCGAGATTTTTCTCCTTTCAGAAAGTTTATGGTACATTTACAGTGGATTAGTTAATAATATAAAAGGAAATTATCTTATGAAAGTTATGGAAATGCTCCCCCCTTCCATCACCTAGGGACAGAAGTACCCATTTATGTCCAAGTTTCAAAAGAAGATGCTTCATAAGTAGAACAAAGAAAGAGAAAATTCCATAGTTTCTCAACAAATAGCGCTATACTACAAGAAATAAAAACCAAAAGCAGATAAACGCTTCATAGAATTAAAGCACACATCTTTGGTTTCGTGATATTTTTTTTCTGGTTGAAATAAACACAATATTTACATTTTCCAAAAAGAAGATACAAACTTCGAAAGTGTTTCCTATAAAGGTTTTCAGGTAGGAAATTCTGAATGGATTTACTTGAATACCCTTTAGAAAAATACTTAGTAGATGTTCTAAATGGGCAATTTTACAATGAAATGTCCAAATAGTTATTTTTTCATCCGAAGAAACTTGAAAATAATGGTGAGAAACCAAGGCAAAATTTTACTGGATTTTATTTAGAACTTATTTTGTTTGTTTGAACTGGTGGATTAGAAGCATTTTGTTCCAGAAATTCATGCAATGACACAAAAGTTCTAACTGTGCTAACCGTTCCTGATTTTGAACTGATATACTAGAGGGAAGGCAACTAGTCAGCGGCATTCACCGCCATCTGTACGATTATTCTAAACTAATATTGGAATTGAACGTCACTCTTATAACGTACCCATAGCGCTAAATTGCTGAGCGCAATTTTGAGGCAACTGAATGCGATCCATGGTCCATATGATTCACTAACGCTAATCAGTAAGCCACACCCGACCTAGTTATTTCGCACTACATATTTCAGACACGAAAGATAAATTATATCTGGCAATAAGAGAGAAGAAAATAAGACTGTAGGGTAAATTCACAAAATAGCTCAAAAATAAACTTCACATTTGCTAATTGGATAAGAGACTAGAAATACATAATATAAATAAGGAGTATAGAACAAATTTTAAAACAACGGAAGAAAATATTAATGTAAATACTTTAGCTAGAGATGATGTTTGTTACATCGAGTGATCACATGAACGTTGCTCGCTGTAATTGATAAATGATCGTTGATCGCGCGACAAGATATCTTAAAATACTAAAGTTTAGGCTTAAGACCAAACTGATTGTTTCACGTGTATCAACAATTCAGAATGATATCGCCAGTAAACTAGAGTTGACGTTATCAGTCAGAATGTGAGAAAATTTAAGAAAATAATGACACGATGCAAAGAAAGGCGAGAAACATAGTGACAAAGAGGTTTATTAAATGTAAGGTGACAGGGAGGGGTACTACTCATATCAAATCTCCTTTTTGACTTAATGGTCAGGAGACAATAAAGGACGCGCGAGCGGTTGGAGATATTAAGTAAACAAGTCAGGAGTCAAACGATGAAATTATGATGAGAAAAATGAAGCCTAATAATAAAGATGAACACGGTTGATAATACACAAAACAACTTTATTTACAAAAGTTTCGAACGTTACGGAATACATTTATTCTATCTTCAGCGTAATTGAAAATAATAATATTATTATATTTATTGAGTAAAGTCATTGTAACTTCACTAACTATTTTACTTAAAATATTTATGAAAACGGTAAACAGAATGAAATACAAATTATAGAATATGTAACGGAAGTTGCATGAGAGATCAAGTTATCATTTATAACTATTATTAATAAACTGCTGAGTGTAAAGCGAAGTTATTTAAAATGATTTTAGGCCTAAGGATGTTTGTATATCATTAAGAGCTTGAGTGTCCTTTACTGGGAGTAAGCTCTCTTGCGTGGTTCAAGGTCTGAAGTTCATGCAGTAATGATGGAGAAATCGTTATATGAAATGTTTTGACTTGTGGTTTCAACATATGAACGAATAGCTGAATGTCTAGATTTAAGTAATGGACAGCCAGTCCTGTTGGGTACTCTTAAGTGTTCACAGACTGTTGTTTTAGTGGCGTTTTTTTCTTACCAATATTCGTGATATTGCAGTTATTATCAAGGAAAATAGTCGTTTTTTTTATTTGTAAGTGTCGTGAGCCCATTAATTAAAGAAAGATAGATAACGAGAAGAAACTTGGAGACGGTGTGAAAAGTGGTGAGTGGCTGTGGTTTATTGTTTAGAAATTTGCAAATAATGGTTGTTAGAAGCGATCTCATAACATTTTGTGTAACGGGACGCGAATCGCGATTCTTCGGATTCACAGTTCAGGCACATTAAACGCTAGGTCATGCCTCATCCTTTTAAACTAGGATTTCGATAGTTCCATCTTGCATTATTGTATTTTAATCCATCAAAACGTAAATAAAAGTAAGTGAAGGGATTGTAGTTTATTTAAAACTGTGTTGATTATATTAAGAGTTAGTGGGTTGTTTTTCACGCTATGACGTGTGATATAATGGTACTTAAAGAGTAATGTCCGACGTTATTACTTTGTTGAAAATTTACAGAGGTTAAATACTTTATAATAAAACGATTTTAGAGCCTTACCACGTCCTTATAATCCATGTTGCCACGTCTAGTCATACTCTATCCGACGGTCGTGAAACTTGATAATAGCCCTGCTGTGTAATTTTTCATTGCCACTAGGCTGTCATATCAAAAGCATACCACCACTTCCTCCATGCATTTCATATTCAATATAGTGCACGAATATGACTGTTTCACAATGCTTGCTTCAACAGTCCAATCGCACAAAAATTCATAGACGCGGCATCTGGCAACTTGACTTGTATGTCTTTGTATGAAATATCATGAATACCCACTTCACACTCCAGCAACTTAATGTATATGATGATTGAAGGGATATGTTTTTCATATTCAGAAAAGTGGAAGACTTTCGGAATATTGTTCTCTACACTTGAATTGCATAAGTAAATTTTGTAGTCACCAATATATTTTCTACAAGTGTTTCTCTGATAGGCAGTTGTTGACCATTTCACAGTCAACTCAATGTGAATACTCTGTCTAAACTATCTATCAAAGAATACCTTATACATGTTGTTGCACACATATTTATATCGATTGTGGTTGTCACATTCAAAATCGTTTAATAATAACGTACTCAGTCTTCTGTATAATACTGCAAAGCAAGTTTTGGTTAAAATTTAAAAGGTTGATTTTCAAACAGTTATACTCTTACTTCATGGCTTGTTATTGCCATGATGAATATTGCTATAGTTTCAACTTTCACATGCCAGAATTCAAGCCAAGCCCCCTTAGGAACTTCTGGATGCTAGTTCACAAAAAATACTCTGACCTATCAAGAAAAACAAAGGATGTGCTTTTGTCTTTCACATCAACATGCCCGTGCAAGTCAACGTTTTCTGCTCTGACAGCAATGAAAACAAAACTGAGACCTCGTCTGCAGATAGAGGAGATTTCCAAGTTGCTTCATCCACATATGAACTTTATGTTATCACAAGCTCAAACCCATTCTTCACACTAAATTGATGAGTAACTGATACTGTTTGTCTCGCGCGATCCATGGTGGGAACTTAGATTAATATATATTTTATTTCCTGCAGGGGACTGAATATAACCAGGAGCGGTCAGAAATTTCAGTCCCCCCCCCCCACTACGTAAGTTAAGATTAAATGGCACCTAACTTCAGAAAATTTTGATTGTCTTATGCTATGTACCGTTTTAAGACTTGTTATATAATTATACTTGGTGAAGCGGGTGCAAAAGATGCATGTTTAGAAGGGAGCGTCATAAAAATGTTTGCACATGACAGTTGTACTCTGAGCCTTCAATACATTTTACTGAAACGTTATAGCCGCTAAACGTACTCCACCGTGATTCACCATAACGGTCTGCTCCAATGCATAGGTCCCTCGGTGGGATAGTGGTAAGTTTACAGCCTTTCAACACTAAAATCCGTGGTTCGATTCCATGCGGGGACACAGCAGATAGCCTAATGTGGCTTTGTTATAAAACACATCAAACAAACCAATACGTGATGTTTGTTTTATTATCTTTTTAATACAAGAACTTTTGTTTACGTGATGAGTATTATGCAAACCAAAAGATCGAAATTTTCACGTGACTGACATTTAAAATGTGATTACTATTCAAACATTGTCAAATGACTAACACGAGAAAAAAAGGTCACTGCTTGAATGCCGACTGACGAACCTCCGAATGCTTAGAACTATCTTCGAATTCCTCGCAAGCGAATAAACCCTCGAGCACAGCCCTACAAGATATCTTAATATGATTGATCCTTAAGGGTATGTCATTTTTAATTATTTAAAAACACGCCGCCTATGATTACAAATATTTGATGTATGTATGCAACAATATAGTTCGAAAATGATGTATTACTACGTGTCTAACATCGCTAGTCTTGGCCAATTAAACTTAAAATATCGGAGTCATAGCAATCAACAGGGTTACACAAAGTTATCTGTAAGCTTGTCTGTTTATACAAACAACAGCTGATTGCGTTGCAAATGACATGACAAATAATGACAGGATCTGAATTAAAAAGTATATATTTCTTGATATTAATAAAAGGGCCAGTAGCGTCAGAACACGCTTAACGGGGCTCTAATAAACGCCCCCCCCCCCCCAGTGGCACAGCGGTATGTCTGCGGACTTGCAACGCTAGAAACCGGCTTTCGATACGCGTGGTGGGCATATCACAGATAGCCCATTGTGTAGCTTTGTGCTTAACTACAAATAAATCTAATGAGCCCTTACAAAACTCATTCAAATTATACCGTTTTTCGTTAGTTTTATGATTGGGCATTGTCATACAAAATTATTTCTACCAGGTGATGCCACCATGTTCGAAAATGTTTTAACATAAGGCTTTTTCTCAGTTATACACTTTAAGATATTAATTATTGTTGATTAAGAATCTAAAACATTTGTAGTTTTCCATACGAATGTTGATAAAGTTATATATTTTCATTCGAACAAGTATTAATTTTTTCATCTTAGAAGAATGCACATTATAACTATTCTTCTTTAAAATCTTAAATCAATCTTTCTGCCATTTAAGAAAAAAAAAACATTTCATAATAAACGCTGATCATGTAACATTTTCAAATATTTCATAATTAACGCTCATCAGGTAACATTTTGTTTATTTTAGTACCCAAAACCAGCAGTGTTGTTTTTTTTTCTTCTAATATTTGTCTTTTTTCAGAACCTTTACCAACATGTTTTTACGCTTTAGTTCTTTTTGGATATTTCGTTGATGTAGTTTTTCATTACAACAGATGAATTGTTTGGAAAAACTAAGACGTAACAAAGATAGAATTTTGGCTGTCTTTGGAGGATTTTTAATTTATGTCTGTCTGGGGTATTACCTTACGTTCGGTAATATGACTACTTATATGACCTCCTATCTCAAACTTCGAGTGGATGAAAGCATCACCTACACTCGGTCTTTGTGGATTCTAAGCACGTGCATAATCGGCAGAGGTTTTATTACAGTGCTTGGTGGATATTTAGAACAGAAGATAGGAACACGATGGCCTGTAGCGATTGGTTGTTTATTTTTCAGGTAACTACGAGATCAGCAAATTATGAGAAGCAGATTTTGTAAACAAATTACATAAGATTGTTCATAAGCTGTGTATGTTTTCATTGTATTGTAAAAAATATAAACATTTTCAGACCTTATTTTTATGAAAACAGAAGAACTGCAAATGTGCAGGTTATTATATCCATATTTAAATAAAAAATACGTTATTTAAAGGAGGGAAATATAATATCCAACATAGATTTTGATCCCATAATTTTCAACTCAATACGATTCTCTATCCATTTTGTAGAGAACACAGTTATCTTCATCAGTTAACAGAACACACAGTTCTTTTCATCAGTTATCATAAATGTTAGGATAAACATATTATAGATACGAGATGCAAACAAATATTAGGTCGTCAAGAAATTAATGTCGCTTTTTTTTAGATGAAAAAACCCGAACAATTTATATTTCAAAACAAACCATTTGTTAAATGAACTAGACTCCATTCTTATTGATGATTTTTTCCGTCTTACAATCAGGTTGCTAATGCCTTAATCAAAGAGATCACTTGGCTTTGAAGCAGAAAACATGTCGATGTCCTCTTTAACACCTTCCATATTTGCATACGTTTTCCATTAAGATGGTATTGCAGCAAACGAAAAAGATGGTAATCTGATGGTGCTATACATGAAAAACTTTCCAACCCAACTCCATAATCTTGCATTGCGTCAAACGTGCCATATACGTGCATTGTCGTGGAGAAGAAGAACACCTTTCCGATTGACGAGTAAAGGGCGTTTCTGATGAAGGGCTTGACTTAAACGTCCCAGTTGCTGACTATAGATCTCTGCATTGACAGTTCTCTGTGGATTGAGGAGTTCGAAATGAATTACTTCTTTGATGTTCCACCAAATGCAAAGCATCACTTTCTGCGGATGGAGTCCAGGTTTTAGGGTCGGAAGTGGTATTTTTCTAGTTTTTGGCTTTTAATATTCGCACAGAGAATCCATTTTTCATCATCGTTGACAATTCTGTCCAAAAATGGTACAAGCGCATTACGTGCCACAAGAGACGAAGCAACGTTCACACGTTGGAAATGATGATCACCAGAGAGTTTGTGAGGCACCCAAACACCTTCTTTATGAAGTTTTCCCATATTCATTTATTATGTTCACGCATTGTTTCATGAGAGACATGCAATTTCAGGATCATTTCACGGGTATGTTGCCTTGGGTTAGACTCAAGAAGCGTCTTAAGAGCATCAATATCAATTCCAACATGTCGGCCCCTGCCATCACAGTTTTTAAGGCTAAAGTCACTTGAACGAAATTTGCTGAACCATCGTTAACACTTACGAACGTTCAAAACATTTCCATAAACTTCTTTGAGGCAACAGAGGTGTTGTTTCCCTTCTTGTATTCAAATAGCATTACATGCCGAATGTGTGTCTCGTCGTGTATCATCACTATAAGGGTTTAGAGTATACTAAACTTTACACATTATATAGACTACACTAACGTGACGTTTAGGCGGTTCGTTTAACTATTATACGTGATGAACGTGTTGTGGGGGATGGTTAATTTCATGACATCCTAATATTTAACATTGAGTAGAAATTACACTCAGTCTGATCGATTTCAAAAGGAAGATTTTTCTCAAGGTCTTTCAAGAGCAGGAAGGTTTTCACCTATGAATCGAAGATTTTAAAATTTCTCCTAAGCCATTTATCCAAGTCATTTTTAATTAAATTGGTAGTTATCATTCTATATTTTTTCAAGTTTCTCATTGAATTTTCCAAGTTCTGTTCTATGATATACCTTAGGAGGTAACGAAGCAATTTAGAAGGTTGATGACATTATATTAAAATAATTTTGAAAATGATCACCAAGTCACGAGATCACTAAAGCGAATATAAAGTTACAGTGGGACTGTATGTAACATATTTTGACATCGTTGGCGTTTATAGGTAGAATGATGTCACCAAAAACTGATTTTCTCTGTGAACACTTCAGACGCAAAATATTCATATACTCACATCATAAAGATGTGTTTAAAATGGGTATTTGGAGCATCCCTTGTACTTAATAGCACAGGAAAACAAAGATATATGGACCAACATTGGGAATTCAGAAAGAGAAAGAGACATGCAAAAAGTCGTACCTCAGCCACGATAAGTAGAATGTGGCGTTTTGTAACAGGTGAGACTCCACGAATACAAAGGTCAGTACCAGAAGCCATCCATGTTCCCCAGGCAACAATACGCAACAAAATCAAGAAGTACATCAGCCTGGAAAAGTTACAACGGCCATGTGTACACAATATGCTTCTACGATATATCTAGGACAGGAAGACCAACTGTATGAGCAGTATCTAGTCAAAACAAAATGGCAGTATGTAATGACACTCGACGAAGTATATGAGTGTCTTGCTAAATGTAATTCTCTTGCCATTTTCTACTTATCAATTTTCCAAAACTGGGACATAAGTATGTTGCGAAATTTAATCGAAATGATTTGTGATCGTCCCTGGATACTGGTCCAGGGTCAAGTTAGGGATAACTAGAGTGGATACAAAGTCAAGGTAAACTCTGCTAATTATCAGGCCAATGTTCTACACAGAAATAATGACTTTGTATGGAAACAAGGCCAATATATGTATGGGTTCAATAAGATGACACTTACAGCCATACCTCCTGTTAAACCATCACATGCCTCAAGCAGCTGAAGACTGAATCAGGTATTCATGCTATTCCATAGGAAAACATACCTGGTTAAGTTGTCGGACGTATCGCTTATGGATTTCTGTGTGAAACGGGCACTGGTAGACAAGATGAATTATGAAAAGCCCGAATGGAAGAGCGATATGCTTTGGACATGACATCCTTAAGACGTAGCTTTTTGCAATAATGGAAACTACTGAGCAAGGCTATTTTTAAGATTCGTGGTCATCAGATAGAGCATGAATAGACGTGGTGAGGCTCCAAAATTGTTTTATTAGAACATACTCAATTTCTGTATCTTATCTTGATGAGTATCTAGACAGTACATTTTGCAGCAGTTTTTCTTATTAGACCCTGGATCACCAAGTTTCAGATGTTGATGTTGGGGGGGGGGGAGCCCAAGCCAAGGTGTTGTTGTTCCTGGCAGTTATTTTGATTTAAGAATAATTATCTCCTAAGAAATAACTACTAATCAAGGGTGCTCGAAGATTAGTTTCTGTACCTCAGTCTTAAAATATTTTTGTGAGTCTGTGGTGTTGTAACATCCTAATTTAAGTCATATATAGTTTTAGAATTAAAATTAAGTGCACAAGGATGGGGAGGGGGGGAACCCAAGCCAAGGCGTTGTTGTTCTTGGCAGTTATTTTGATTTAAGAATAATTATCTCCTAAGAAATAACTACTAATCAAGGGTGCTCGAAGATTAAACAACCCTCCTTCACCCTGCTCGTGGCCGTCATGACGTCATAATAACTTGAAACTGGTCTATTGATGAAAGGATCAGAAAACTGAAATTATGAATTATGAACAGCATTCATAGTCATTGATTAATATAAGAGTTTTTACTGACTTTTTTGTGGAAGGGGGGGTAGGCTCTAGCTTGGTTAGATTGTTCATTAATCCGATTCTGATTTCAATATCTATAACTGAATAAATAGATTTAATATTGCATTATATTACTTTGCAAAGAGTTTTTCAATGGAATGAACTTCAGCGATAACACGTAATCTGACTGATATATTGATCAATATTATTTTTGATTTTAGTTTATCTGTGTTCCTGACGGCATGGTCAATAAAAGCTGGATTTGGAGCCGTCGTTATAGTTTACGGATTGCTACAAGGTTTCGGACTGGGATTAGACTATATCCCACCTCTTGTGACACCAGTAAAGGTATGGTATGGCATGGTCTAGTATAGAATAATGCGAGGGTTCATCTGGCCAGTTGAGGTACGACAGATATAGTGTTGAATAAATAGTTTACATTAGTATAGGGTGGTGTAGTATAATATGTTTTCAGTCTTGTTATAATATAATGAGACGTTTTCCAAAATCATTTAAATCACCGTTAATGACTGACATGCACAGTTTTGTTTTATTTAAAAAAATTAAAACAATAAGAAGGAAAATCAATGTTAATACACGTTATTTGTTCAAACAACATCGGATAATTTTCTTTTTTTACAGTGCTTCAACCTTCATTGTTTTTGTATTTAAAAAAGTGTAGTTGAGTTTACTTTAGTGTTAATAAATCTGAATAGTTTTGAATATCATTTTAAAGAATATAAATATAATTACGAAATGAGTTTATGACCTGCGCATGTAGGTAAGTATCACGTAAAAAAATCTAAGAAAGACCTCAACGAAATAGCAGACGAAATTTTTTCCTTTATAATTCTTGGTCTTATGAGAACATCTACAGTCGTCTTAACAATATTTAGGTCCGAAAGAAAAAATCTAAATATATTTCAAAATTATATCATAAGTGCGGCAGTACTTATAGTAGGACTGGGGCGGATATACAATATATGCAATTCAAACTATTTACTCATATACACCTTTAACAACCAAATAATAAACCTTCAAAAGTATTTTAGATGATAAACAAACCACATTCAAAATTAAAAGTCATAGAACCGCTTGATAAAGTCAACAGAGCAGATATAAAAAATACACAAAACCACAAATTTCACAAATTGACTGACTGATTGACATGGTTAAACTCTTGTAGCTGTGTAACAAACAGATTTACCATAGTTATAAGTGTACCAAATAGAACAATAGCACAGGGACCTTGACTTCAATACTCAGAAACCTCTTAAGATCTTTTATTTTTGTATTTTAATCCACCTATATAGCAATGTACGAAATCCTGTTGCCTTTTCACGTAATTGCAAAATAAGTTGCAAAGAAAAAAATATATATAAGTTATGGGTCCACACAAATATCTGATTCTTCTGGTGTCGTATAAATAGGCTTTATAATACATGTATATTGCCTTCAATAATTCTATTCAGAGAAACCTCTAGTCATTGTATGATAAGCATAACTAAATTTGATTGGTGTAGTTCATCTGGCTTATTGTATACAGGATAGAAAGAATACACGAAGTAGGCATGGACCGGATGTCGGGCACACCCCCTTCTGAGATTGTACAGAGGAAGTTTTGTTACACCATGCCCATTCCTACCTTGTTTCCTCATTTTTTGGTGCACCCATTCCTACAATTTCAATTTTTTTCCAATGTATTAATATCACATCAATGTTGTAGGCTTCTCAACAGTTTGAGGCCTTTTCTGTTTTTGTTAAGCACAAAGTTATTCAAGGAGCTAGCTATGCTGCGTCCACCAAGGGTAATGAAAGCCAGTGTTTAACGTTTTAAGCCTTCAGACGTATTAGTGAACCACTGGGAACTGTACAATAGGCCATTTGCGCTCTATCCATATAGGGGAATGGAATCCAGAATTGAAACGTTGTGAGTCCTTAAACTTACCGCTCACCCGCTGGAGGGGGGGGGGATAAAAATCAGTGTAACGAATTAGAATATTTTATTTGATAAAACCTAAAAATTCACACAGCTAGAAAAAACACAAACCTCACACAAAATCTCCTATCCTGTAAAATTACACCACACAGTGTAATGCTAACTCACATTCTTTAACACAGCGTAACATGTGTGTGTTTGTTTGAAGTTAATCACAAAGCTACATTGTAGACTATCGCTACTTTGCATCCCATGGGTATCGAAACCCGATTTTTAGCGCTACCAGTATTTAACTTTACTGCTAAGCCAAATACATATTGAACATTATAATGTCGTAATGGCTTTCATTGAGCAAAGATTTTTTTTTAATTTTCGTGTAAACTACTGAACGGCTAGCTACGAAAATTTGTTTGTTTGTTTGAAGTTAAGCACAAAGCAACACAATAGGCTATTTGTGCTCTGCCTACCACGGATATCGAAACCCGGTTTCTGGCTTTGTGAGTCCGCAAACATACCGCTGTGCCACTAGGGAGCAGCTACGAAATTTTTGATTGATAGACTTCAAGAAAGGGAGCTAGTCAACAGCATTTACCGCCAACTCTTGTCTAGCATCCTCGAGTTTTCACTTTTCTTATCAAAGCACT